CCGCCACGCCGCGGTCGCGCAGAACAAGCATCTGCACAATCGTATTGAGATCGAGAAACTCGCGTCCCCTGAAACCCTTCCGCCGAGCGCCTCAAACTCCGACCGCGCCGCCACCTCGGCGAGACGCCGCGCCTCGAGCGCGCCGAGAGTCGAGTTGTTCCGCGCCGAGGGAAAGAGCGGACCCGCGCCGCCGGTCGGCGGTGCGTGCGCGTCCGAGGGCGACGGCGCCGGCGCCGGGCGCGCGTGCGACGAGGGGCTGTAGGTCGGGTTGGGCTGGGCGATGCCCATCTGGTGCAGGCGCGCCGAGAAGTCGGCCGTCACCTCTGGGTCTGCGGCGTCGGCGCGGATGGCTGTGGCTGGTCAGTATCGCGTTCCTGCCGTCTTTTCTCGCTGCCTCGCGGGACGGCGGTTCGGCGGAGACTTTACCTTTGTCTTTGGTGGTTGAGGCTTGCGGCCTCGGCGGTGCGCTTCGGGGATGGCGGGCTGCGGCTGGTGGCACGGCGGCGCCTGGCGGGCGGGTTGGGAATTTCCGTGCGGCGCCTGAGGCGGCTTTGGACGAAGAGGAGCCCATTTTTGGCGACGTGGTTTGGTGAAGGTGCTGGAGAGGGGAGGTGGGATGTCTTTTGGGAAAGACTTCTTTTGGGAAAGACTTGGGATGCTTTTCACGATGATTCGGCATTAGGTAAGCCGTTTCCTCTGGTGACGTCGTTGGCGATAAGATAAGATAAGCCAGTGTGGAGGAAGGCACTGCTCTGATTCAGTTAGTCAGCAAGGACTATAAAACGTAGCCCTAGGGGCACGTCGGCCGCAAACTAAGCCAGTTACAATAACTCTTATCCACCTTAATACCCACTTATGCGATTTCGCTAGCTTTCTCGGCAATTCTTGTTGATTCCCATTTCTGGTGACCACGGCAGGGCCACTGATCAGTTCCGCCCTGATCACTTACCTGATTTTCACCTTTGCAATCACATCTTCACTAGTTACGGCACTATCTCATCGAAGAGGCACCATAACGCGCACGGCAACACCACCACCACCAGATAACCAAGGGTCAATAACTACATCATCATCTCCATATAATCAACACGTCTCTGAAGATATATATCCATCGTCGCCGTTCAACCCGAGCCGACATACGAAACCACTAGAATCCCATCAACAGGATTTCATTGTAGGTTTCACACCAACGTCCCCAACCGTGGCCCTGCCAGGCGAACCTGGTAGCGCAGGCCCCAATCATCAGTTACACACACATCCGCATGACTACCATGGAGCAACACCTACGACGTCACAGCAGTCATAGACGAATGTCAGGTTGATCTTGCCAGACAGATCCGGCACACGTTTGGAAGCAGGAACATTGGGGCAATCGGGCCGACAACCGACTAGGCCTTCCTATCATGATCAGGGACTGTGGATATCAACTTCCTCGACAACTGGCCAGTTTACTCTTGCCTGGTCTGCCAGCTCCTGGGCATCAACAAGACCTTCTAGGGAATCTCCCACTCCTGACCCATCCATCCAACCTACACCTTTTTTGGTGACTATAGCAGGGCTCGGTAATCAATGCCAGTTCCGACCTAGTTCTTGCATCTCGAGAAGTCCATTTTCTAAATCAAGTATCTACTATACTAAGCAAGTATAAAGAAAAAACGCTAAAAGCTATTTAACCTACCTATAAATACTATATTATTATCTCACCTACTTAAAGTATATTATTGATAGTCACCCGCGATTTAAAGAGTACCTCGACCCGCTTATATACTGTTAGTCCTTGCTTTAGTCTTAAAGAGATATTATCCTCTAAGGAATAGATAAAGATAGATATCTAGACGTAGGAAGATGAATATAGCCGTAGGCGTCCTCTTATAAGGGGGTAACTTAGAGGAAGGCACTACTCTAATTCAGTTAATTAGCAAGGACTATAAAACGTAGCCCTAGGGGCACGTCGGCCGCAAACTAAGCCAATTACAACAACTCTTATCCACCTTAATACCAACCTATACCCTTTTTAAGTGAGTGTCGAGGGCTGTGGTGATTTCATCCTTCATCAACGACGCTTCTTCATGTGTACGGGGTAATTGCACATTCGTCTGATGTCAGATGACATTCAATTCATCCGGTGCCCTATTAACTGGGCTGACTACCTCGCGCTCTGTCCACCAGATCGAGCCAGAACCACACTCCTTTGCCTGCCGAGAACACCGCCCGCTTCCCTTAACCAAGCGCGGCAACGTGGTTCGTGACAAGGCACGTCCAGTCGTCCGTGTTGGTGTAGATGGTGTTGCCGTCATCGTGCGACTTGCCATAGCTCAGCGTATCACCAAGCTGCCAAAAGGCATCGGCGGCCATGCCGGGCGTCGCCACGGAGGTCAGCTGCCAGGGACGCTCGATGGCGCAGTGGTTGTTGGGCGCGCCGTCTGGCATTCATCTCGTCAGCATTGCTTCTCTCTCTAAGGGTTTTCTTTCTTACATTCTTCGAAGAAGCAGGGCTTGCCGGCCGCGACACAGGCGGCGGCGTGGTCCTTGATCCACTTGTTGCCCCAGTCGTACGAGACACCCCCTATTGCGCTGTTAGCTACCTCGCTGTCTTCGATTCGCCGACCTAGGGCACATGGGGGGGACGACGTACAAGATCCGGGGTAGAGGTGGAAGGTGCCAAAATCGAGCGTCTTGATGGCGAGGTTCTTGGCAAAGTCGGTGCCCTCGCCAAACTGGTAGGGGTAGCTCGAGTCGCCCGCAATGCCGAGGCCCTCGTCGCCGAGCGTCACGAGGTGGTTGGGGTCGAGGCTCTTGACGTACTCGGAGGCGCTCTTGGCCCAGTCGAAGATGACGTCGGTGCTGCAGCCGTTGCAGCGGGGCTCGTTGGCGAGCTCCCAGGCGAAGATGGCCTTGCTCGTCGTGTAGCGGCTGACGACGGCCTGGACGAAGCGGCGGTACTGGGAA